TTGAACTGTTGAACAAAAACACCCACCTACTCCCATTCTAAAGCTTGGAAGAGCAAGGAAAATGTTTAATTTAACTCCGATTGGATTTGTCTGAAAGAAGAAAGTCATATACACCTAGGATGCATCGGGGGTGAGTGAAACACAGCCTAATTTTCATTTTTGGGTGAACTAACCCTTTAAAAGACATTTATAATGTTACAAAAGATTTCTATTTCAAATAAATGCCATTCTTTTGAACTTTCTGTTCATCAAGGCATTGTGAAAAAATTTATCTACAAAAATAAGAAGCACCACAACGGTTTTCAATATTGATAATAATAAGAATAGTTTCTTGAGCAGCAAATCAGCATATGCGAATGATTTCTGAAGGATCATGTGACACTGAAGACTGGAGTAATGATGCTGAAAATTCAGCCTTGCATCACAGAAATAAAATACATTTTAACATATTAAAATAGAAAACTTTAAATAGTAATTATTTCTCAGTATTGCTGTTTTTTTTTTTTTTTAGGTATACTTTGCATAAGAGTCATCTTCTTTCAAAAACACAAAAATAATCTTACTGACTCGCACCTTGTGACTAAAGTAGTACATTTCATAAATCATCAGTGTTTCTGCCTTTGTCAGACCAACAACCTTTTTAAGCAATACATGATTTAAATGAGAAAATTAAAGTAATAGCTGGCCCACAAATGATAATTGTGTCATTATTTTGTGCTAACATCATTTACAGATCATTTCAAACCCTTATGATGTTCTTTGTTCCTTGAAACACAAAAAGAGACATTTTAAAGAATGTCCAAGCTGCTCTTTTCAATACCCTAAAATCTCAAGAGCGCCAGTGGTTACCTGTGGCCTTTAGCCGGGGTTTAGGGGACTTCTTGTCCTTCTTCTCCACTCTCCTTCCTCCTCTCTGCACTACTTTTTTGCCTTTCTTTTTGGAGCGCCCATAGTCGCTGTCATCATCATCATCAACCATGAAGTCTTCATCACTGCCTGACTCTTCTGCAACAGAGAAAATTGTAATATACGGGCGTTTAATTTGTGGCTCAAGTCAAAAAGACTTCAATGGAATTTTTGTTCACTTGTTTATCATTTGCCAGGCCAAAATCATAAGTCTAATTGCTTAAAAAACAATTTGACAACTAGTTGCAAGGATGAGCAACAATAATAATAATGACGCTTAATCAAAGTGACAAAAATATTTAACAGTGCAGTTAAAAAGTAGCACACTTACGGTCCAGGTATGGTTGTTTTTCCTCATCTTTGTCCTCATCCTCACTGCCTCCGTCTCCCAGAAGGATTTCTCTCTGTTTGGACACGGCCTTTGACGCAGCCTGCCTCACCTGCCTCGGTTTCCTGCTCACCTCTTTATCATCATCACTATCATCTGCAGAGAACATCATGCACCCATATTTTCTTTTATGCTTCATTTAATTTGCATCTATTTTCACATCTTGCACTCCTAAACCGTGGTTGTTTCATATATGGATCACATGATCTTATTCAGTCTTAATGGGCAGATCTTGGCCAAAATAAGACTAGACTTAATGCTGATAGTTTAACATCTGGTGCTTCATGGTTAATGCATTAGAGTTCAAGGGAAAGTGACATTTTTTTTGTCGATCCGCGACTCACCTCCACCTCGTTTCCTCTTCAGTGACTTTTTGCCTGGCTTCTCCGCCTTTCCTTTCTTTCCCTTCTTGGCCTTTTTATCATCATAGTCACTTCCTCCATCTTCGTCTCCCTCTTCCTCTCCAAAGTCGTTGTCTTCATCGCTACCGAAGTCATCTGAAGAGCACAAGATTAGAGCGTAATCATCTTTTTATGAATCACTAACTCACCTACGGTTGATGAAAAAATTCAACGCAATTTACCTGCAGAATCATTTTTGGATTTGGAGAGTTTTTCTTCGGAATCCTCGCTGTAAGACAAAAGAAACGGTTTGTTAGTAGTTTGATCTTTGAAGGAGAACGTCCTAGTGTGTGGTAATTATTTCCTAGTTATAATTAACTGCCGCATATGTGGGTCATAAGGAGAAAATGGATCTCAAAAAGGTTCACGATTCCCAGAGACCCGAACACACACAAAACCAGTCATGAAATACACTCATTTGCACCATTTGATACATATAAAATGATTTAAAGTGCATTATTCTGATAATATTTGTTCATCAATTACACAAAAGCTGAAAACAGACAGATTCTTGCCTCTCTTCCTGCGAATTCTTAGATTTCTTGTGCTTGATTTCGCGAGGTGGAGCACGTATCTTCTTGGTTGTTTCCTTTTCTCTCCCATAGTCCTCATCTGGAGGCAGAAATTAAGACAGATTGGACCACGAAGTACACGATCGCACAAACCGACTATCTAAAACCGTCTCATGAATTGACCTCCAGAATACTTGGATGCCAATATTGAGCAAACATGCAAAGAGTACTGCTGACATACATGAATACTTTTCTGAAAAGCTAAAACAATGCATTTTAGAGATGGTTTAATTACCTGCGTCATCAGATTCAAACTGGGAGTAATTCACCACCTTTCTGTTCCTGTAAGAGAGAGAGAGAATACTGTAACAAGAGTTTCCAAGCACACATTTGTGATGCAGCGGTGCGTGTGACGTTAATTCATGTTTTAAGGTTTTACAGACCATCGGAAGGTGGTCAGCATTAAAGCTCATTTAACATGCCTCGCTTCATTATGTTTACTTGAATTAATGATCGTTAAACAGTTCCTCAATTAGTGTTTCCATAAGGGTTTCATTAATACTGCAGTCTTGTCCCATTTAACCACTCAGGCCCACAAGTGTTGAGATGCTTGAAGAGCCACAAAGTTACTTTTAAGTAATTAGATGGATCACAAGACTTTTTGGATTATAATTTACAATACACTTTAAAAAACTGGTGTAGAAACAGTTTTCACTCAGAACTTGCTAGTAAATATTACAAAGAAATGGCCATTAACATATTGAATGAAATGTGCAATTTACAAAAATAAATAAAAGAAAAAAAAGTGTGTAGAAACCGTGTTCACTCAGAAATTGCTAGTAAATTTTCTAAATAATTACAAAGAAATGGCAAGTTTGAATTAAACATGAAATATTAAAACTGAAATTGTATTTTGTTATATTTTTTCATGGTGTAATTAATCATAAATTCAAAAAGCACATGATAATATACAGAATGAAATCTATTTTAACAGTAAAAACTGAAAAATTAACTCGGAATTTTCCTCAAATAGCGCAGGAATCTTGCCTTAGTTAATTTACTATTTTCTTTTCATTAAAAATAATAATTAAGCTTGTAAAATTAATTTCGCAAGAAATGTCTCTGCATATTCTTATTGGCAACAACTTTTTTTTTCTTTACTGTAAGACTCATTTTAGAATCTCTTATTTTCTTGTTTCATCTTTTTAATAACAGCGCTGGCTAATATTAAGTTATTCAAGTTTTATCGTAATAACAGTGTCTTTATCAGTAATAACAGTATCTGTTCGCGACATTTGAATCTTTTTATATCGGCCCTCGGTCATCTTTTATAGACACAAATAACGCGCAGTCATATATACTAATCCGCCGTTGTACTCTGAAATCAAAATGTGGAGAGTGAATATGAATTTGTGAACGTTTTCCACAGAACTCCAAACGGGGGGTGTGGTCGCTCTCCGCCGCCCCGCCCCCCTCTGACGTCACCCGCGTCGTGTTAATTTACCACTATCAAAAAAAATCCCTCAAAAAACAACAACGGCCTTTCGCAATCTATTGTTTCTGCACTACCGAGGTATTTGCGCAAATATGTGCGTATTACAGGTTGCAAAATCACTCGAATGGGCCCATGAGCACCTCCAGTGGGATTTTATTACCCCTCCTGAAGCCTTGGCGAGGATGAATGGGAAGCCATATTCTCAGTGGCTTACAAGGAAACATGAAGCCATTTAGTGCTTCTCACACAACAGATATATTCTGAAATGTGGGTAGGTGATGCACAAAGAATATCAGATTTCAGAATCCTGGTGGATGCATGTTAGAAACGTGCTACATATGCCCGTAAATATAAAAGAGACAGCCCTGCGCCACTTGAAAAAGAGACAACGAGCAAAATGCATGCACGATTGAGCCAAAATGTTACAAAATCGAGCTCTAAACAAGAACCTAAGGACGCCTGGCACATGCGTGAAACCTAGAACTCAGTGTGCATGCAGCAGCTATCAGCAGGACGAACGGAAACCCACGTACCTCACTGGTCTTGCCATTTTGCAGGAATACTGTAGAGGTTAAAATTGTGAAAGAGCAAAAGAAAAAGCAAACAAAATGTGGTATTTTAAAACACACGAGGGTGACGTCGCAAAACCAACGCACTCTCCCTGCGGTAAAAATTAAACGATGCGGGAAATATTCCTGCTCTACGAAAGTATTTAGTTCAAATTTTACCTTCAGCTACTCAAAATGGTGAATAAAACAAACTGAAACTGCAGCCTTCGCGCAACCTAACGATTGGATGGTGGGCGGGCATTTGCGTTTAAGCTCCGCCCACTCGGCTGGATTTGCCCAGAGAGCGACGCTATTGGTCAGTTTGAACGACTGTTTGATTTGGGATTGGGTTTTGTGACTGTCGGTCAAACAAAGGGTCTCTGAAGCATTTACCCTCCCCCTCGTTTGCGGATAGGTTGAACAGCATGGCTCAGAAACAAAAAGAGGCCCTTACAATATGCAAGATGTCCCAGTTTAAGTGTAGAACAACTTTGTGTTGTTTGTTTCTATTGAAATCAACTTTATATAAATGGATGTGCGCTTTATATAAGGGAGAGTGCACAACAGAAGGTTTGAAACCCCCAGAGTATTCATTTTTGCTGGCTATTGACCTAAAGTGGGATTTTAAGTAGATCATTATTCATAGAATGTTACTGCAAATATAATGATAGCAAAAATAGTAATGCTAACAGTAATCAGGCCTAATATTGTTCACATTTCATCACTTAAATTTGTATTACAAGAATGTTAATAATGTCTATTATTATTTTGATGAGAAGTAATATACGTTTGTATATTTTACTTTTCTTTTTTTTTTTAGCCTTTTCACAATTCTTGTCTTTCCCAATGATGATTCTTCTCAGAAAGAAAGAAATGAAAAGCGCAGTAAAAAAAATGCTGTAATCAAACCTAATCTAATATCCCCAGTCTACCCTCAGCTTTGTTTGCTTTATTTGGTTGACTTCATGGCTCAGAAATGATCCTAGTTTGTTATTGTCCACTTTTGTTGTTTTTTTTTCACTGAAATTAAGTTTGCGTAAATTAATATGCGGTTTGAAAGCTTAGAAAAGATGGGGTTTAGAAAGGTTTCAGACCCACAAAGTGTTGATTTTAGCTGACTTCTACCTTAAAATGTGCCCCAGCTTGATATTAATAAAAAAAATAAAAAATAAAATGTGATTGCAAATGTAATAATGTATTACGTTAATATTGATCTTCTTTTGCGTTTATATTATAAAAGCTTTAATAACATTTACCCTTGTTACTTTGACGGAAATGAATGTGAGTAGCAATGCAGGCTGCTTGATATTCAGTCTCCAGAGTCACATGACTGCAAGGCATCTGTATTCCAGCATAAGCAATGTATCTAGCATGTCGTTTCAAAGGATTTTTATGCATACATGAAATGCAGTGACTGTGTATTTCGCTGTATTTCTGTTCCAGGGAAAAGGATTTCTTCCTCTTTATTCTCCCAGTCTTTCGCTGCAGACCCTGGAATCCTCTCTGCTCAGCAGTTATTGAAGTGAGGAGAAGGTACGTCTCCATGGCAACCAGGTATGATTCTCATCCGTTTTATTTATTTATTTGCCCATCCATCAGTGTTTGCATTTCTTTAGCCTTTTCTAGTCTTCCGAAGCATCTCTGTATGAGTTCCTGAAAAGGAAATCTGCTATCAAGGGTCAGTCATCTGATATTGTTTTTGTTTATTTGGATGCATGTCATCTGTTGCCACAGCAACTACTCACTTTTCTCCCTGGAGTGCACACAGAAATCACATCTAAATTCGAAGACAAAATGCTGTCACAAAAAGTAGGACATGTACAAAAAATCCTCGCACAGGCTATAACACCATACAGATGTGGGGCCCACATGCATAAACTTGTGTTTGCTCACAGCTTATGGGCAAAGTGCAATTAAATCACTAGTTTCTGTTACACAAGGTGCTTGTCAAAATTCATTTGATCTGGAACTAAATTTTAATGTTGGTGAATCTCACAAAACCTGTCATTACATGCCCTCTCAAAGAAATAAATAGAATAATTGTTTTTAAATCAAGAATGTTTTTAGAATCATTCACTTTTTTCTTGCATTGTGAGAAATAAATAAACTAAAGAAAATAATTATTAAAAAATGTAAATTGTTTAGACAAGTGAAAAGAATTTGAGAAGATTGTATTTTTTAAATAATAAATCAGAAAATAAAATGAAAGCATCACAATCCAAAAATCTTAACTGTTCTCAAATAGACTTGATTTTCTTAATGCAAATTATAATTTTGATTATAATACATATGTTTTCTAGGGTGAAATGTGTCCTGGACATATTTACTGAGATTCATCCAGGTAAGGATCTCATAGAAACAGGTTGCATGTTTATACTTCCTGAATTACAATTTTTAAATGCACCCAGAAAAGTAAATAACTTTTAGTAGCCCGTCCATTTGATTTAAACTTGATTTTTCTAAAACTCTACAGTTGCAAGGCTAACAAAAGGACACAAGAGGGAAGTATGGCACTGCTATGATATGATTTGCGTAGAAATTATAATCCAGTTTTCTACAGAGATATGGATCTTTTAATAATAGAGCTGTTATGCAGTGTTAGTGTTTCTGTGTGATCTTCAAATGAGTTCATGTGCAAATTCATTGTGATTCTATTAAAACTGTCTGACTGTGTAATTTTTCTGTGTGGGCTCTGTATATAATAAGCAGTATCTGTTTACCTGACTACAAAAAAAATAAAATTTAAATTAAAATTGTGTGCTTAAGCCATGCTTACAAATGTCAGTGTCTACAGCACAAAATATCAAACCAAGAGCCATTTATATTAAAGAAAGACTGCACAGGCACTGTTTCATGCAACACATTTTACGAAAAGGTATAATGCAGTGATGGTTGTGCTTTTTTTTATTTTACAGATACTTTTTGGAGCCACTGTATGTATGTATTTCATGTGAATTCAGAGCTGTACACTTTATTCAATATAAAAGGTTGTTTTGTTCTTTGGCAATTGATGTACTAAAATCGACGCGTTTCAGAAAGGTGGGGCATAGAGGAGAAACAATAATGTACAGTATGTGGAAAATAATGTTTTTTGAACCTTAAACCTTAAACCTATAAACACATTTCATTACACCAAATACACCAGATAATGTTCTTTTTTAGCAACATCATATGACCCCTTTAAGTGCATATTCTAAATTTTTTGAACCACAGAAATTCAGTTCATAAAATACAGACACCAAGGTTACTGTGAAGTTTGTAAAGCTGAAGTTGTTTAAATTGTGTTATACTGTTAAAAGTAGATGAAATAGCATTGGTTATGTTTTCACTTGTAAGTGATGCTTGATCTGTGCATATTTCTCTCCTGATTCAGACTAGACGACTTTTCCACTGGAGAAAGCAATATTATGGATTATGGACTTGTATTTATCCGGAAAATTTGTATTTTAAAAACATCTTAATGAAGGATTTGCTTCCAGACATGCAGCTTTTCACTTCACAGGACATTTGTGACCCTGGACCACAAAACCAGTCATAAGGGTCAATTTTTCAAAATTGAGTTTTATACATCACCGGCTGAATAAATAAGCTTTCCATTGATGTATGGTTTGATAGGACAATATTTGGCCGAGATACAACTATTTGAAAATTTGGAATCTGAGGGTGCAAAAAAAAAATCTAAATACTGAGAAAATCGCCTTTAAAGTTGTCCAAATTAAGTTCTTAGCAATGCATAATACTAATCAAAAATTTTGTTTTGATATATTTATGGTAGGACATTTACAAAATATCTTCATGGAACATATTTAACTTTACTTAATATCCTAATGATTTTTGGCATAAAAGAAAAATCATTTGAAAATTTGGTGGAATCTGAGGGTAAAAAAAAATCTAAATACTGAGAAAATCGCCTTTAAAGTTGTCCAAATTAAGTTCTTAGCAATGCATAATACTAATCAAAAATTTTGTTTTGATATATTTATGGTAGGACATTTACAAAATATCTTCATGGAACATATTTAACTTTACTTAATATCCTAATGATTTTTGGCATAAAAGAAAAATCGATAATTTTGACACATACAATGTTTTTTTGGCTATTGCTAAAAATATACCCAAGCGACTTAAGACTGGTTTTGTGGTCCAGGGTCACATTTATTGATGGACTGAAGTCGTGTGGATTACTTTGTGATGTTTTTATCAGCTGTTTGGACTCTCATTCTGACGGCACCCATTGCATTATTCTTTTAGGTCCTGCGACGAAACCTCTGAAACTTTTTATTTGAATGTAGTGCCTGGACTTACATTGTAAGCGCATTACTGTAATTTTAGAGATTTTAACTTGTATTGAACCCGGGACATTAACCAGCAAGCATTGACCAGCATGCAAATTCATGCTGCAAGCTATCAGAGAGGCTAAAGGTCACCCAGCTGCGGGCGTTTAAAGATGCTGTCGGTGTCAGGTTGTATAGCAGGTGAAGGTTCAGGTGCAGGTTACACTTGAAAGAGCAGGCACTTTCTCTTGCCACAGCACCGTCCAGCATCTCCATCCTGAAACATACAGGAGTCCAGATGCAGCTGCGTCCCATCGCTGAACCTCTGATAGCACACTTCAGTCAGTGCTGTGGGGAGTTTATTCAAATAGATCTCAACGCAGCCTGTTTTACACACAAACTCGCTTCGAGAACCCAGTCTGGGAATTTTGAATTTTAAGACATACTTATTTACATTTGCAGGCAGACTATTCTTAGACAAAAGCCCTGCAGAAAAATGAGAGGAGACTCGCAGCGAGAGGACGGCGGGAAAAAAGTAATAATGTCTATTTTATTGAAGCATGGCAAATTAAAGAATCAAATAGGTTGTTACCTGTTATATCTAAATGATGGATATCTGTTATGATTCTCAACTTCAAAACTGTGTTTAATTTATAACATTTTTTATTTTATAGTATTAAGGGGAAGTCGTGGCCTAATGGTTAGAGAGTCAGACTCGTAACCCAAAGGTTATAGGTTCGAGTCTCGTACCGGCAGGGATTGTAGGTGGGGGGAGTGAATGTACAGCGCTCTCTCCCACCTTCAATACCACGACTGAGGTGCCCTTGAGCAAGGCACCGAACCCCCAACTGCTCCCCGGGTGCCGCAGCAAAAAAAATGGCTGCCCACTGCTCCGGGTGTGTGTTCACGGTGTGTGTGTGTTCACTGCTGTGTGTGTGCACTTTGGATGGGATAAATGCAGAGCAC